TTCTCCCCCCTTCACCCCACCTTGCTGCCTGCCGGCGCAGAACAAAACGCCGATGAAAAATAACCACAAATGGCACAAACCCCAGCGCAGCACCTCAGCCCGCGAGCCTGCCTTCCCCCTCCAGGCACGCGCAGTCCCACGGTGGAGCCGGATCATCTCAGGAGATTCTGCTCCGCACAGAGCAGACACGGCCTCCGCTCAGCCAGTGACTTCATTACCTTCCTGCACGGCTGCTCGCAGGCAGCGGCTCTCACCGTTCCTTACACGGAGCAGCTGCAATTCTAAAGAGGCATCAGCGCCGATGGCGGACACAGCAAAAGAGAGAAGGGTTCTGCAGCCCCCGCCATGTCCCCCCCACAGGCTCCGAACGCCCTGCAGTAAGAGCAGTGTGACCCGCCAGCCTTGGTCAGAGCAAACTGGAGTAAAGCATACAGGCTCAATGAAGCAGTACAGCAACTCGGTGTTGGAAATGATCGCTGTTTGTACAAGACTCCTGAAAGAAGAAATTTCCCTCCCTGAGGGGCATGCTTCCCCATGCACCTACAGCTCCTCTTTGGCTACGCAGCAAAGCCCTCCCCTGGAAGTCACGTTTTATTGCACTGTGCTGGACTGAATGTTGCCATCAGACAGTTGTAATTCCCCATGCTGCAACCTACTGACACTCCATCTTTCCAGAGCTGGCAGAGGCGTAGAGGTGAGCCCAGGTCAGAGGGATGCTTCAGAGGACAGGAGGATAAAGTGGCCAAATCTAAGGAATGTTAACAGTGCTCAGTGTTTGAGATCTTCAGTGGCGACTTGGTTTTAGACCCTGGCAGAGGCCACCTTGACGGAGACAATAAAAGAGGTTTTAATTAAGGCAGAAGGGTCAGCTCAGCATGCTAAAAGGAAAAGTAGGCCCAGAAATGCGTAACTGTGCAGTGATGTATCCCTCCGTGCACTACAGCTGTGCTGTTCAAATGATCGTGGAAAGGCATCACTCAGACCTTCCCAGCTGCCGTCCCATTCCCTCTCAAACTCACATCCCTTAATTTGGCAGCCACGTCTTCCCACCCCTCTCCCACGCCAGCAGCCCAGCTCCACACTGCCCAACTGCGGCCACGAATCAAGCGATCCCGGTGAAATGTACTATGTGGTGTTGAAACTTTGAAGTGACACCATGGCAACACAGCACACACAGCTCCTTCCTGACCAAATACAGGGCAGCTTCCCACCGTCAAGAGACAGCTGACAGCAAGTTCACAAGGCAAAACAGCACTAGTGAGCAGCAGCATAAACTCCTAAGCATCTGACCTGCAGGAAATCTTGCAAGAATCCCCAAACCTGTCAGGTCTTGTGATGGGGCAGCCCCTCACTGGAAACGGCTTCTGCAAGGGCTAGTCAGGTTCTGGACAGCAGGAACTAAACATTTTTGGAAGATGAAGACAACTAGGAAGCTGCCTGCAGTACAGACACAAGGTACAGTTAATACTTTTTCATGTAGGTAGAAAAAGCAGCAAGCCTGGGCCTTTCACACAGACATCCCCCCGAACCCATTGGAGATCCCAGGAAGAACACAGCTTCCTTCTGCACTTGTCTCCACTCCCACTTCAGGAAGATTCGAGGAAGGCAGCTACCACTGAACAGCTATTTCTAGCCAGTACGGGACTAGGCGGCAAAACCG